GAAGAGGATCAGTTTCATTTCAAAAAAGATATATTCTGTGTTAAATTATTTTTGCTAGTTCTTCTAAGCCCTTTCTCATCAGTTACGTGATGGAAGAGAGAAATTAGCTCATTACAGGCAGAATCCTGGCAGCCCCAAATTCTAAGTTGGTGCATCATCTAAGTCAGTGTTTTACAAACTTAAAATTGGACTTCAACTTCCAGAACTCCCCATCCAGCATGAGATGAGATGGGTGGCACTCATCAAACCAAATCAAATTAAATCAAAACACTGATCTAAGACAAGTCCAATGCTGTATGCCAGGTAAAATGAAGAAATGCTACTGATGGAAAGAAGCCTACCCAATACTCTTCTGGTGCAAGTATTCCTGGAATATCAAAGATACTATGAAGGAGATAGGTGAAAACCAGGGATGGGATCTAACTGGTATAACTACCGGTTCTGTTGCTGTGCATCGCGTACAGATCCGTGAGTCGTGTGAGTGCAATTTACGAACTGCTGAGCTGCCCGGACAGCTGAGCAGTGCTGCGTGCGGGTGCGCAGTGGTTGGAAAAGCCCTTTTTCCCCCCTGCTTTTTCAACCACAGCTGTGCCACACAAAGCAGCTGAGTTTGAAAAAGCAGGAAATAAAGGACAGGTAAGAACGCAGGTGGGTGTGTGGGCCAAAACAGCAGCAGACACAGAACCAGTTCTATGTCTGCTGCTCTTCAGAGCAACTGGTTCTACAGAGGTGAACAGAACTGGTAGAATCCCACCCCTGGTGAAAACTGTATTCCTCAAAACATTTGGTTTGGAACCAATTAGTATGATTATGTGCTGTCACACCCACAGTAAATGTGATAATGGTTTTAATGGATGATTTAGTAAAATGTCATCATCATCATCATCATCATCATCATCATCATCATCATTGTCTATCCACTGCAGGATGAAGGCCTTTTCCACATTCCCAACCAATACTTTTATTTATTTATTTGATTTGATTTGTCAATCGCTTACAAGATAATATGTATAAGTATAAACATGAGTAAGAATACAAGTAATAGGTACGAATAAATGGGGACAACAGGACAGGGATGGTAGGCACGATGGTGCACTAATGCACGCCCCTTACAGACCTCTTAGGAATGGGGTGAGGTCAATAGTGGATAGTTTGAGGTTAAAGATTTGAGGATGTAACAACAGAGTCAGGTAGTGCAATCCAGACATTGACCACTCTGTTGCTGAAGTCGTACTTTCTACAATCAAGTTTGGCGTGGTTAACATTGAGTTTGTATCTGTTGTGTGCTCTTGTATTGTTGTGGTTGAAGCTGAAGTAGTCATTGACTGGTAGGATATTGTAGCAGATAATTTTGTGTACTACGCTTAAGACAACCATAGGCAGCGTAGTTCAAGATTGTCCAAGCCCAAAATTTCAAGTCTGGTGATATATAATATTCTATTGTGAACAGAGGAGTGTAGTAGTCTTCTCATGAAATGCTTCTGGACTCGCTCAATTGTATTAATGTCCAATATACAGTGCGGATTCCAGACAGATGAACTGTATTTGAGTATTGGTCTGGCAAAAGTTTTGTATGCTCTAGTTAGCAATTCGATATTTCTGGAGGAGAAGCTTCATAAGATTAGATTTACAACTCTTAATGCCTTTTTGGCAATGCTGTTACAGTGAGCTCTGGCGCTTAGATCATTAGATATGAGTACTCTGAAGTCCTTGACAGAGTGAGGGTCACCAACAAGGTCATATCCGCCTAGCTTGTATTTGGTGTACTGATTTTTTTTTTTTTACCAATGTGTAGGACACAGTATTTGTTGGTCGAAATTTGGAGCTGCCAATTATTTGACCATTCAGACACATAATCAAGGTCACTTTGAAGAACAGTAGCATTGTCGGTGGTGTTGAATAGTTTTACATCATCCGCGAAGAAGATGCAGTTGCTTATAGGGTGATCGCAAAGGTCATTTATATAGAGTATAAAGAGTGTGGGTCCTAGAACACTGCCTTGGGTTAACAAATAGTTAACAATACAGTTGAGCTTTCTTTTGCCAATTGGGCCTGCAATACTTGCTGATATCATTGCTCCATCTCGTTTTAGGCCTCTTTTGTAGACACTTTTTATCAAGTGGAATCCACTGTATAGTTAAATGTATTATGCAAATAGTGCCATCCTCTCATATAGTTAAGTTCTTAGTTTTAGGGTTGGTTTCCTTTATACAACAGCTGTGAAATACTGTCTTTTCAATTATGTGTTTATTGTTACTTATGTGAATCTAAATAAAACTACAGAACACACTAATATGATCTGTCTCCTCTCAGATTTCTAAAAGGAAAGCTGTCCTCCTCTTTTTAGCCCTTTCAGAAAATTCTCAATATATTTCTCTGTTTCTTCTGAAGTGGAAGCTACACAGAAGCATATGCTTCATAGAAGCTTTCTCATTGGAACTGTTTGAAAAAGATTTCCAGCTCTCAGGACCCATCAGTGAATGTTCTTGGTTTCCTAATCCTTACCAACTACCTAACATAAATTTATTTATATGTTATATATTATGTATATCTAATAGTGACTCCCTCCCCGCTAATACTAAATGATACAATATATTTCAGTAAACTTCTTCTCATTCACCTTATTTTTTCCTCTTCCTGAAGTGTTAAAACTATGAGCAATTGTTTTAAAACCATGATCTGATAAAATTTTGGAAAGCTGTCTGAACCATGTAGCATTTCTTAGGGGGAAGATTTTACCCAACAGTCAACCAGTTAACCATCTCTGAGCAATCCACATTGTAGTTTAAGGTGCTTCTCTCCTATCTGTTCCAATCTGTTTCTTAAATCAACTTCAGAAATTTCTGACTGGGTGGCAGTGGGTTAGCAAAAGACCTGGTGCTCAGTGCAGTTCATGCAAGACTTGATAGATTGTCATCTTACTTCTTGCCCTTCTCAGCCATGCATGGGGAAAAAGAGTTTTTGTCTGGCTCCAGTGCCTGATTTTTCTTTTTAGGGATTACTTCCTCCTCTCTAATCCCCTTTCTTTCTTTCTTTTTTTGGTCCTGGAGAAGAAATGATCTATGTCAAACTTGCGGCGTCACGTTGTCATCATGTGACATTTTGCAGTTTTCCCCCCTTCGCGGAGCTGGGATGGGTGTGGCCCTTGCATGACGCATCTGGTCCATAGGCCGTCAGGTTGACACCCCTGAATTTTATGTGGTTGCTAAGAGTCAACACCAATTTGATGGCACAATCAAATAATCCCCTGATTTCCCAGATGTTCCCATAAATGGATGTCTTGTCTTCCTTCTCCCCAACATTATCTCCTTTTTCTAACATATTTCCCTTTTTATTTATTTTTCCCTTTGATGGTTCTGTACAGTACCATTGTAATTCAGATGCTACTTCAATCAAAACAAGAGGGAATAAGTATTCATTCATTGCTATCTTTAACCAGTCCGTGGAAGAGAAGGGGCATGCAAGACCCTGCAGCCAGCTGGAGCCAGAGCAGCTACTGGAATAAAACAGACTGCTGGAAACCCTTTCACACTCTGAAAAGCGACATTAGAAAACATTAATTTTGAACCAAACATGGAAAACACAGGCACTGGGTGTATCTGCAATAGATTGGGAGTGGGATGAGGATGTATCATCTATTTTGATATTCAGGAAGTGGTAAATAGGTATACTGCCAATGAGCTAAGGAGACAGTGTGGATCTGCTTGTTGTCTCAGATTATATCCTTACAGTGTCTACTGTCCCAAAAAGGAGCTGCTGAAAGAACAAAGGTTAGACATCCTGAATTAGTTTTAAAAAAAACAAAACAGCACTGGAATTGGTTGCATTATATGTGGTCATTTCTAAGGAAATGTTAACCACGGCAATTTTTTTCCATTCCAAGCTGGAATGCATTTTTATTGCATATAAAACTAACTTTGGAGAATAGTGCTAAGATTTTTTATTTTTATCTCTAGAGTAATAAATATAATTTTACTTTTAAAAAGAAGATTAGAATGTTAAAGCTGCCAACTGTCTACATCCCTGCTTGTGAATCAGTTTCAATGGACTTAAAAGTATACTTACATGTTTTTTTAATATAAAGCATTCTCTTCAGTTTCATTAATGTACCTTCTTGAACAGTGTAGCTAATACAGGTGCATTGTAATGCTTAGCAATTTAGGCAATTTCCACACAACATCCAAGTCTAAATATCAGAGGAGCATGCATTTTCTGCCATCTAACCAGCTGATGCAGCTTTAACCAGAGTCTTATGTTAACATTTCTACCAAGCCTAAAAAAGCCACAGTTTTTAATATATGGAAATCAGAATTTCCAGTTACACATTTGTTTTCTGTAAGGGCAACTTAGTGGAGTTGAACTTGGTTAGGAGTTACACTTACAAAATTAAAGATGACCAAAGTTGTGTATATAAGATGATGCTGTGTACTTGGGCTTTTTGGTGTAGCATATTATACAAACAAACCATGCTGCTAAAGATTTTCTCCACGGTTTCCTCTGTTGTGCTGAAGAAAGCAAAGGCTTGGCTTACAATAGCAGTCTCCTAAACTCACGAGGCAATGGCAACCGTGGAGGCATTTCCAGATTCTTTTCTATATGCTCCTCCATTCTGCTATATCTTAGCAGTGAAATCATGGGCCCTCAAAATAGCAAAGGATTGAACATTTTGTTACTGCAAACTTTCCTACATCCCACGAACCTCAGGAAGCTTTGGATCTTCAACTATTTATCTTCCGCCCATTTGGAATGAATTGTTTTTTTCAGCAGCAAGTTTGTCATTTGCCTTTTGTTTGAAATACATTTGTGGGAGTCCTTGAGATTCTTTGAAAATGCCAGGAGCTTTTGGTTTCAGGCAAATGTGCAAATGACTGCAAGAATCAGATGTGGGCTTTTTAGTCCAAATGAAAAAAAATTGAATTAGAACCAGCACTCAAGAAAGAGACAGCCAGAGATGTCTTGGCTTTGAGCCTGATGTATGTAGTCACAGAATATAAGGGGTGGCTGAAAGGCAAAAGCTTATAAGAAGTTACTGGACTTTTCAGGAGAAGCTCAAGCAGCAGAAAAAAGCTATTAGGAATAGGAGAATACGATGAATCTCCTGATGTTCCTGATGTTTGCCTTGCTGCTGACAGTCCCCTGCTGTTGTGAAGGAGGTAAGGGAATAGGGCATATCGGCTGCAATATTCACCCATTCTGCAACATGCCACAGACCTACAGTATTTCTCCATACATATCTAGGTATTAGCAGTTGGATCCTTAGTATGAGATCTGCTCAAATAAATCTGAAAGAAGAGTTGACTTTCTCACTTAAGAAAAATGATACACACACCTCAGTATATCCCATCAACATTTGAGCAGTCTCTTTCTCTTATGTATGAGGGGGAAAAACTTGATGTGATTATTTAATGTCAAGATAACATTCACCATGAATTTATATCCAAATCCCTTCTTTCTGACGTTTTAAAATAGAGAAAATAAAAAAAAATGTGTTTGATCAATTGAATAGAATTTTTGTGGCAATGTATAAAAGAAAATAATTTTTATGTCCCTTTTCATAATTCTTCAGCTTTAAAATTTAGTAGACAGAATAAAGAAAGCATCTCATATATTTTACACAAATAGGTTTCTTTAGAAAGCCCTGAAAAATATATTTTTTTGAATATATTTAAATAATTGTTTAGAACAAATGAACTAACGAATGAACACCAATTGGCCAATAAATATGTTTTACTGTAAAAACAAGTACTTGTGTCTTTTGTATGTTGTGCCTAAATGGGTGGGAATACAATGTCTCTGAGTTATATTAGATATCTCATACTATCTATCTTTTTTTAAAGCTTCATCCAACGCTTTGGATGAAGGTAAGTAATTCCCCATTACAAATTCTAATAGATCTGGTGTGTGTATAGGTAGAAGAAATAGATAGATAGATAGATAGATAGATAGATAGATAGATAGATAGATGTGTGTGTGTGTGTGTGTGTATTTGCTTGTTTATTTATTGTTCATTTGATACCTGTTTTTTATCCACCTCTTTTATCCACCACTTTAGAAAAGACACTGAAAACTTATTGAGAAAGGGGTGACAATGCAGGCTGCCTGAGAATGATGGGACTCAGTTCCAATATGTTATCAATCCCTTGAACTAGATGGGGGAAAGTTAAGGGTTCCTTGATTTTCCATGTGTAGACCAATTACGATGACAAATACTACTATTGTTTGTAATATTTGAATTTTCAGAGAGCCAAATAACACTTTACAGGAAAGCATGTGGTCCATAGTAGCTAACTTAACACACATCTCTTATGTATTAAAAGAGACCTGGCACAAACTAGGTTTGCCTGTTAGTCCCCCGATGAATAAATGTCCTATTGGCTAGACACATAGGAATATTCTTGCCAGATAGTCTGGCAAAAACTAAGAAAAGTTCTCAGAACGTGGTGGCCAAGTCAGTCTGTTGCAGCCAAATAACTCTCCTGGCACCTACCTGATTTATTGTAGCATAAACTTTGTGGATTAGAGTTGCTTCCTCAAATATTATTTGATGAAGGCAGAACTAAGGCTAACATACAAGATCTCACAAGATGTCTTCATCTTTAAAAGGAGGGAAAAAAAGATGTGTCTGGCATATGTTTTCTTTGGCCATTCAACAGAATTTAAATGATTTTTCTCCTCCAAAATACCACTGGCATTTTATTGAAAGGTCTCAGCAATTCATTGACTAGAATATTAGACATTTATCTGTGATATTCAATGACTCCTGATATTTCATGTGTGACACAAGATAGAGGTGGTCCAGAGGTGGTATACAGCAGGTTTTGACCAGTTCTGGAGAACTGGTAGCGGAAATTTTAAGTAGTTCAGAGAACCAGCAAATACCCCCTCTGACTGGAGGTTTTACAGTATCCTTCCCCTGCCACGTCCACCAAGCCACACCCACAGAACCGGTAGTAAAAAAAATTGAATCCCACCGCTGAGGTAGTCCTCAACTTATGACTATGATTTTCCATTATTAAGCAAAGCTATTGTTACGTGAGTTGCTCCCAATTTTAGAATCTTTTTTGCAATGGTTGTTAGGAGAATCACTGCAACTATTTTTTTTCAAATTTTATTAATTTTAAAGACAAACAAACCATCATTAACCATTAATACATGAACCTCTTTCCATTATAAATTTTACAAGTCAAATAAAACATTATTTGATACAATATAATTCTATTTTAGACCATTTCCGTATGAGCATACAAATATCTCTTATCCAATTTCTCTTTATTACTCTTTACTCTTATCCAATTTCACTATTATTATTTTTCTCTATATTTATCCAATTTATAATTATCATCTATTTCTCTCTGACTTGGTTACCATTATTCTCATTCTATATTCCTGCAAGGTTTTATTAATTCTCCCACATACATAAACACACAAAAATATAAAAGATCTTTTAGGAAAGTAACTTGGCCCCAGAAACCTCTCTCTACATGGACTTCAATTATATTCATGCTCATCTTACATGCCATTACCTATTTTATTTACCATTCTATATCTTCTAAATTAGCTTCTCCACACATTTCACTCTTCTTAATTCTATCTTATTTAATTCATTTTAGTTTAAGTCATTATATTTGTATCTTTTGTCCATTTTTTATTATCCATTTGTCTCATTCCCTATAGTACAAAAAAAAAAAAAAGTTTCTCCTGAAATCACTAATCAGAGTATGATGCCTTTCTATCATCCCCCCAAATTAACATTTAAAATAACACCTAATACCCAATCTGATTCTGCTTGGTACATTCTATCTACTAATTTTTAAAAAAGAAAAATAATAAATCCAAAATGATTAAATACATTACTAACTCTTAAACCATTCTAATTTTCTATTTCTAATACAAATGCTACAATACCATCTTATGTACCTTGCAGAATCTTTTTTTTAAACAAATTATACATTACCCTTTGTCCCTAAAAAAAATTCCTCTTTTCCCATCTGGTTTCAAAGCTTTGTGGCTTTTCTCCACCTTTTCCCTTTCTTTCTTCTCCCACCAGGCCTTTCTACCCCCCCTTCTCCTAGCCTCTGCCTTGTTAGCTTCCCTTCTCTGTTGTGTTCCTTTTTTCTTTTGTTTTCTAGCATTATATTGATTTTGCATCTTATTTTTCTCTTTCTTGGATGTTTTTTTAAATCTTAAGTCCTTCATTTTCCTTCCTCTCTTTCTCTTCTCTTTCTTAATTAAATTTTGAGATTCATCAAAGATGGCTTCTTCTTCTTCTTCTTCTTCTTCTTCTTCTTCTTCTTCTTCTTCT